AAAAAAAAAAAAAAAAAAAAAAAAAAAAAAAAACAAAACAAAACAAAACAAAAAATAATAATTTATTTAATGAATGGGTCTAGGGTGTGTGAATGTGGATGAAGGGTGTGTGGTACTGGATTAGTTCCTATGGTTTCTCATAGTTTTGGGTGTGGACAATGGGAAGCCCCTCCCTGGGTGTAAGCAGCACCACCCAAAGGCTCCCGGATGGGATGAAAGGGAAAGGGAGGCCTGCTAGAGCTTGCTGCTCCCTGCCTCCCTGCCATGGACTGTTTCTCCTCTACAATGCCCTTCTATTATACACCCTGCCTTGGAGCCAGCTGACTGTGAATTGAAACCTCTACAAACTGTGAGCTGAAATAAAACTTTCCTCCTTTAACTTGTGGGTGTTGGGTATTTTGTCTCAGCAGTGACAAAGTAACTAAGACAAAGCTATGAGAAAAAGAGGGAGTTCAACCTGAACACGCTCAGTTTCATAGGTCTATGATTTAATGAAGCAGAGATGCTGAATATAAAGTTTGGAGCTCGACCAAACATTTGGGACATTTGGAGATGTTCGCTAGGAATTCACCGGCACAGAGCTGGAAGCTCAAGCTGCAAGAGGGCATGAGATCCAGAAAAGAAAGAAGAAAAAAAAGAAAAAGAGAAGGCTGTGGCCAACACCTTGAAGAACACCACACGCAGGGAGCCCTGCCACTCCGGGAGCAGCTCTGTGGGACCAGATCTATTCTTAACATGAAGTACAGGCTCAGATCACTTGGGAAGTCAACCAGGCCCAGGTGGGTAATGAGAGTTTAAGAGGAATGAAAAAAAGGTATGAAACTGTCACTCAGGAGCAAGTGGATTCCAGGCCGTGGCTGGGGAAGGTTGGGTAGTAAAATCCTTCAGCTCCTAGGAAAGCGATCAAAAGAAGGTAGAAGAAAGCACAGTGGTGCTCCTGACTCAGAATCCTTCTCTCAGCCTCCAACTTTAGTTTTCTACAGCTTCCTAGTCCTGGCACGTGCTCCTCTGGATCTTCCATGGCATTTAATGTCCATGTGCCTTTTCAGGACACTAGATGACTTGATCACACACTGACCACTTCCCGTTCGGTATCCCCCTAACTTAACCCTCTGCCCCTTCTGTTCATACGCCCTGAACCGGTGTAAACATCCTCATGCTGTGAGGTGTGTAACACTGCTCCATGAGTCCATCTTAAGGAAATTACGGCTTGACCGGCAAGGGTCTTCTAAGTGTGCAACTGAGAACTGCCAAGACCCCTTCTGCTGTGTTTCCCTACTAGGTATGGAGACAGTTTCTTTCTAGGGCCAAGGGGTTGAACTGCATCTATATTTTTGGAGCGACCAGCAATAGCCCAGTACAAAAATGTTGCCTCTGACCAAGGGAGTGAAGCTGCCAAGATTTTTGTTGCCCAAACAAGACCAGCTGTCACCAGTCCTGTCAGTTGCTCCCAACTGTCTTTCTCCGCCTGTAGACCTGACCCAGAGCCTGTGCTTCACAGGTAGCAACCGTCCTCTCCACCATACTGCTGCTCCACAAGACTCAACCGAGAAGTCCATATAACTTCCAAAGAGCTGGAGGGCAGAGGACACATCCACACCTATCGCTTTATCTGTCTCCTGTCTTGGGAATCTGTTTACTCCGTACCCAGAGACCTTCTGTTGGAATGTTGCTGCCAGGAGGTTGCCTTAAAGTATGAGGAAAGCTACAAAATAAGACAGAATAGGCAGGAAAAGGACCCAAAAAAAGCTACCTCACGTTTCTTGTGTGTGCCGCGCTCGTACCTTGGCGGCCAGCCGACACTCCATCACCCTGGTGTTGAAGTGGGAAGTCGCTGCCTTGTTCATCTCCACACAGCTGTTGGCAATCACAAACACCGCTCCGCTTGGGAGCTTCACATCCGTTGCCCTCAGAGGGCCAAATTCTATCAACTTGGCCTATTGGAAGACAAAGGACCAGTGAGATACAACTTGTAAGGGTTCGGAAAATGTTCGAGAATCGATGCTCTTATTTACCTTAAAGTCTTCCTTCAAAATGCACTCATTCATTTAAATATTACAGATGGCTCCGGCCCTGGAGATAGAATCATAACCAAGACACACAGCGTCCCGCCCTCACAGAGCCTACAGTCTAGTGAGAAAGACAGTGGGCGGGCTACACTCCAGGACGTGAGTGTCGCAGAGGAAGAACAGGGCAGGGTGCTGAACGGAAACTTAGTGAAGCACCTGCTCAGGCACAGCCTGGCAAGATCTCCTTTGAAAAAGGGAAATCTGACCTGAACTCTCAAGGATGAGTGGGAACCGGGCAGGTACAGACTTTCTTTTCCCAAACAGGGTGTCAAGCTGGGGGTGGTGGCGCATGCCTATAATCCCAGCACTCAGGAGGCTGAGGCAGGAGGATCGCTCCGAGTTCAAGACCAGCCTGGGCTACAAAGTGAGCTCGAGGCCAGCCTGAACTGCATAGCAAGACCCTGTCTCAAGGAAAAA